CATGAGTCAACAGTACAGGCTCGTAGAAAAATTTATTTGTTTAAGTAAACAACTGCCATCGAATCCACTTTCGGTTCACGAGCTAATTTCACTCATCTGCCAACCAAATCATGAGATGTCTCATTAAGGTCGCTTGCAGCTGATCATCTTTTCTCTTGGCTTAGTATATTTTTGTACTACTTCATAAATGCAAAGAAAAGTTGGGTTTCGAGGAATCTTTTGTTTTATAATTGATGAGCTTACTTCGATTTCGAGAGAAAGTATTTAGTCAAAAGATTTGAAGTTTGATTCCACCAGAAGACGACGACGGATTCATCTTGAGCAGCTGTCGATTTGCTTTACTAGACAGTCATGAAAACGCTGTTTCCGAGGCAATCTCCTTCGATTCCGGTGAGGTGCTGAGCTTTCTTCATATGACGAACACCCTCACTGCTGGTCTTGTATATAGGCGAACACACACAGGCACATACACATGAAGGGACAGACACACTCACATGCTCCGAGTTTGACATATGACTGGAACTAACCAAATCATTTTAGGTCAGACATAGAGTATGTATACAGCTTCGAGGTTTTGAGGAATCTCTTGTTTCATAATATTCGAGCTAACTTCCATTTTGAGTGAAAATGTCAAGTGAAGAACTTTGAAGGTCAATTCCACCAGAAGACGTCTCTTTAGCTTGAATTTGGTTGTAAGGATGATAACCTGCTCTAATGGGGTTCGTCCTATGACGGACAAAAGCTTAGCACCTCTTCATCAGAATCGAAGGAGATTAACTCGGAAGAAGCGTCAAAATGAATGTTCCAGTAAAGCCAAAAGACAGCTGGTCAAGAGGAACCTGTTGTCGTCTTCTGGTGGAACCGACCTGCCAATCTCTTTACCAAACACTTTAACTCGAAATGGAAGTAAGCTCAACTAGTTCATAAAGTTTGGATTCTGACTGATAATTTCTGTAACGGTGGTGCAGACGAAAGAACATGTTCATTGGGGTTGCAGGACAGTGAGTCGAGGTCTCCTTTGTGCAATCCAGCAGTCTCCACAATGCGGCAATCATGCTTCGGTTTCCGGTGAGACCATTTCACGAATTCTTTTCAAACAACTTTTTATTCGAAATGGAATGACATGTGACAGAAATCACAGGTTTCTAAAATTCGCAGAAACACTCAAACCGTGTCAGTTAGTAAATGATAGTTTAAGACTGTAATGATGCCTGTTACACGGCTGACTTATGATGGTTACAGGCAGACATCTTCGGGTAAATCCACAATCGAAATTGCAAACCGATTCTCCTTCACTTTCTGATGAGTTCAATTTACGATTTTTTCTACTCACCTCCCCAACAGAAGTGAAATGTGCAATGACATCTAACTTTTGAGAAATTCCACGAAGCCCAGATCCTCTTCCGATGGTGTCAAGACGCCATGATTCCGAAATGCACCAACAAACACTTCGTTTTGTGGCTTCATTCTTCTAGCTTGCAACTAGTTCTACGCTTCTCCTCTGATACTTTGTTTCATTTGAACCTTTCTTTCATAAAATATTATAACAAGTAACTCTTTTCGTCTTTCCAGTTTGCAGCCGACTCCGTCTACGACTCAAGAGACTCTACTCTCAGGCGCCGAATTCGGGCTTGGAATTCTTCCCTATCGGGTGGCCGGGATGACTAGCCTTCAGAACTGTACGTCTGGAGAATCAGCTGCCCTCGGAGCGAATGGAAGTTTGCCAGAGGCTACTCGATTGGGCAGAAAAGGCAGCGGTAGCGTAGGTCGAATCCTAATGGGGCTCAACTACACTCGCGGTAGCCTGACCAGCTACCAGGAGAGCCAAGTGGGTCCAGCCAGCTTGACGGGCCATGAAACGGACTCGGTGTACGATGACTTGGGCCAAACAAATGGACTATTCTCGAGTCGACCTGCCGTCAGGAGCGCCTGCGCTTTGACTGGATCGCTTCCTCGGGTGGGCGTTTGTTTGACTTGATGAGTGCGAGACTTGTTATCTTCAACTATGCGAAGAAAAGTTGGGTTTCGAGACGTCGTTTGTTTCATAATTGTTGAGCTTACTTCAATTTCGAGTGAAAGTGTTGGGTGAAGAGATTCGAAGGTCGGT